CTAGTCGGTGAGTGTTCGGACGTGTTTTCATTTGCTCCGCTCATTAATTTCTGATTCTCACTGCCTTTTGCTCTCTGGACGGAGAACTTTTTCCAAAAGGCGCACTGGTCGTGGACCAACACTCTGCAACAACTTTTGCGGCATAAATCCTGTGTTTTGGTCCATTGTGTGCCTTTTCGAAACTCTGGAAAATTTGATCATTCTTCGTCAACGTGCCTCGACGGTAGTCATCGTGGGTACATTCTGCGCAGGTCCGCCGAATCACGTGGCGTATCACACCTATATGACTCTTCTGCTGCATGTGTTCCACTGTACCTGTCATCGTTCGTTGGCACCGTGGAAGTTTCTACTAAGGTACGCATGCTTAATGACCAAGGGCAAGGGAGGAGCATCGACAGCAAAGAGTTCTACATCGTTTATCTGCGCTAAATGCCATAAATCTGTCGTTAGCAAAATTATCTGTACGACGTGTCAATCGGCATTTCATCCGTCGTGTGCCAAATTGTATATCGCCGGTAAGCCGGACGCTGTTTGTTGTGTGCGCTCGTTCTCATTTCTCCTCTCACCCCTTCTTTCCCCTAGCGTCGCCGACACGCGTAGTCTGCTATCGCCTGCGTTCCCCACCATCAGCATACCTACGAGCTCTTTAGCTTCGTGCCCGTCTACTCCAACATCGTCCCGCATATCCTCGCCTAGTCCTCCCCAGCACCAATCCCCACTACCTACTGCGTGTAACTCGGTCGTTGGCAGTCGGTTTGCAATGGTCTTCGACCCGTCGTCTACTGCGGACCAATTCGCAAAACTATTTGAGGCCATTTCTGGTCTTAAATCCGACATATCTTCGGTTAAAAATGACACGAAGGTCATCAGGCAGGACCTGGCCTCATTGGCTGCTATTGTTCAGCAAAATACTGCCACATGTAACGCGTTGTCAACTGACATCGCTTACGTGAAGCATTCTAATGCTCTTGCCAGACCAACGTCAGACTTAGTTATTAACGGCATTCCGAACCAGTGTGGCCTGACGCACAATGATATTGCTTTGCGCGTATTAACTTATTTACGACTGGCAGGCCTGTTTGGTGACATACTAGGCATAAACAAATTCGACTATAAGCGCCCGTCCACTGCTGGCGCCGACACTCATGCAACCTCCTCGCAATATTTTGCAATTAAGGTGCACTTCAAATCTGTCGAGGTCCGCAACTGGATTATCGATGCTAAGCGTAAGATGGGGAGAATTACACTCTCTGAAATTTTTCCTGAACTGCATGGCAATCCTAATAGCGAACCAAAATTAATTTATGTTAATGAGTTTTTGCCTTCGTCTACACACGCACTATTAAAAAAGTCGAAATTAGCTGCTAAAAATGCTGGATATAAGCGTGTCTGGGTCCGTGATGGCAACATTTTTGTGCATAAAGACGGAGGCTCTAGAGAGCTTCTGATCGCAACTGATAATGATTTAAATAAAATAAAGTGACGCCCGTGTTCTTCAGCATCCACCTTATCTGTAGCCGTCTCGTCGTGTGAAACATCGTCCCTTAAAATTTCGTGCATCAATGTGAACTCTCTTCGTGCTCATCTACATGATGTCGAAACTGAATTGTCTGATTGCTCGACTCATGTATTAGCGCTTACTGAAACGTGGCTTACTCCACTTGTCGACTCGACGTGCGTTAGTATCGAAAACTACAACTTCATTCGAAACGATCGCGCGCTTCGAGCGGATGGTAAATCGCGTTATATCCAGGGGGGAGGTGTCGCATGTTGCCTCCACAAGTCGTTAGTTTTTTCTATTATTGATAGTTCAGACAATACGAGCATTAATACTCCGGAGTACCTCTTTCTTGAAATCAAATCTCATCAGCACAGCATTTTATTTGTCGTCGTGTACCGACGGTCAGCTTTTTTCCGATTTTTTCACTAAATTTAATATTCATCTGCCTAGGTTTAAAAACGTAATAATTACTGGTGATCATAATTGTAACTTGTTAGCTAATACTTTCGAATCCAACTACATACAAAACTTTATCAATGACTACTCGCTATTCTCCGTTCCGTTCGGTCCCACACATCATTCAGGATTCTCTAGCATTCAATTGGATGTTATAATTGCAGATTCAAGCAATAAAGTCAAGAGTTTTCTAAATCTTTAGCGCCCTTTGCGGCTGGTCATAACCGTATAACGATTTGTTACGAATTTAATAACCTTAACTGTACTCCGCAAACGATCACATATCGAGATTTTGCAAAATGCGATTATCTTTCTTTGGCAAATGACCTTAAGGTATTATTACGTCGTAAGCTTTGGAACCTATTACCTGCCGACCATAATCACCTGCCGTCCAATGCGTATAACAGCGATCTCACGAGTAATCTTACCGTATTTTATGATTGTATAAACGAAATCCTGAATGCGCATGCGCCCTTCGTTACTAAGCGTATTACCCAGCGTTCCATTCCATGGATTTCACGCGAATCGCGAGCTAGAATTAGGAAGCGCGATAAATTGTATACACGTGCTAAGAGGACGCGTAACCTGGTACTGTTACAACAGTATAGAGACATGCGTCGTGAACTTAAGAGCGCCATAAAGTTAGCTAAAGATCGCTATCTGACTGATCTTCTGCAACAGCAAGAAAATCCTGGCAAACTTTGGTCATGCCTGCGTAAATTCGGCCTCGCAAACGTTCCATCACAGTCTGCCTTACATCACTTGTCTTCGTCTACATTAAACCGTCACTATTCACTAGTAGCATCATCTCATCCACCGAGTGACCAAACATCATTCAACTACATCTTACTGCAACCCCTCCCAAGCACCAAACCATCTTTTACATTTTCTGCAGTTACCTATCAAGAAGTTTTCAACTCTCTCAATTTGGTACTAAATAAATCTCGCGGCTTAAGCCCCGATAAAATCTTCGTCTGGCACATCTTAAACAGCTGTTCCCTGTTATCACGCCCTATTTAACCACTATCATTAACACTTCATTATTAACGGGCACTTTTCCATCCATCTGGAAATCTCTTTATGTTATTCCACTCAATAAAATTCCTAACCCTCTACATCCTTCTGAGACTCGCCCAATAGCTAATCCGCCTCATCTTTCTAAAGTCATTGATTCCCTCGTCACCCAGCAAATAGTTCGTCATCTAGAGAATAATCACCTGCTGTACCCTAGACAATGTGGGTTCCGTAAGCATCATAGCACACAAACTGCGTTGCTACACCTACTGGATGATATCCGGCTAGGTATTGACAATGGTCATATAACTATCTTAGTACTGTTCGATTTCTCGAAAGCCTTTGATAGTTTGAACCACTCAGTTATTCTTACGTGTTTGCGGGACATTGGCTTC